TGTCAGTATACCCAAATTATGAAAACATATTTCCTTGCTTACCGCTGGTGGTATCTAGCCATGTAAACAGTTTTGGTTTGATCACTAGAATTTTTAAAATATTCATCTGCAAGATTTGCTTCTATATCCTAAGAGGATGGAAGTAAATAAGATGTTAAAAAAGAAGTCTCAGTTTCTCACTCAACAAAAAATGGACTGGATTATTCAGAGATACTGAGATGCTCTTTTAAAAGTAGGCTACTACTTTTTTTTTTTCTTTTTAGCATTTCCTGTGCTGTGTGTACCACAGTTCAGTTATCAAAAATTTAGAAATGCTTTCTTAAAACCAAAAAAGATAAAAACCAAAACTATCTATGTGGCCATCCCACAAAAAGTATGTGGAATGTGGTTTTTTCTTTTGGGGGGGGGGGGGGTGGGGGGGTTTGATAAACTTATGGTTTAGTAGAATCATGTTGATACAGATCAAAATATTAACAAATTTATTAGACTTTCACTTTCATACATTAAGTCAAAGAATTATTTTTTATTATGTCTTGCACAAAAATGAAGCCTCTGTGACCGGAAATTCAGCCTTTGGGATTTTACAGATTATAATCTTTAGGGTTCGTGTCTGTGTTGACCTTCTTCCCTCTCCTGACCCTTGTTTGCTCAATGCATACTCCACATTTAGGTCTACGGATGAATCAGTGATTGCATCTTTTTTGTTTAAACAGGGTATGACTTCCCAGCTGTACTGCGCTGGTTTGCAGAACGTGTGGACCGCATCGTCCTGCTGTTTGATGCTCACAAGCTAGAGATATCCGATGAGTTCTCCGAGGCCATCGGTGCCCTGAAAGGCAATGAAGACAAACTGCGTGTGGTGCTAAACAAAGCAGACATGGTGGGCACCCAGCAGCTGATGCGAGTGTACGGTGCCCTGATGTGGTCCCTGGGGAAGGTATTTGGCACTCCAGAGGTTCTACGTGTCTATATCGGCTCCTTCTGGGCAGAGCCATTGCTGGTAAACGACAACCGTAAGTTGTTTGAGCTGGAGGAGGAGGATCTCTTTGCTGATATTCAAAACCTTCCTCGAAATGCAGCCATACGCAAACTCAATGATCTGGTCAAGAGAGCCCGTCTGGTTAGGGTGAGCGAGTTGCATATTTGTTCACGTCTCAGCATGTTTTCATTAAATGATTATTCAGAAAGTCATATTGGTGCACTCCGTGTGTTTTATTTCTCTAAATCCTAGGTCCACGCCCACATCATCAGCCACCTGAAGCAGGAGATGCGTTCTGTCTTCAGGAAGGATAATAAAAAGAAGAATCTGATCTATCAGCTACCAGTTATTTTCTCCAAGATCCAGCTTCAGCACAACATTTCTGCTGGAGACTTTCCAGACTGTGCTAAGATGCAGGTTTGTTTGAAACACTGGCTTTGTTTACAAGCACCTTCTGTTAACTTGTGGTTACAACAGGAAAGTTTATTCTGATGTAACTATTAAATCTAAGGACTAACACATTATTCTCATTTTTAAAGGAACAACTGATGGTTCATGATTTTACCAAGTTCAAATCCTTGAAGCCTAATCTGATGGCATCCTTGGATGAGTTGCTCTCCAGTGACATTGCCAAACTGATGCCCCTCCTGAGGCAAGAGGAGCTGGAAGCAGGTGATCAGCCAGGTGTGCAGGGCGGTGCCTTCTTGGGGACCCGTGCTGGACCTTTCTCAGAAGGTGACCCCTTTGTTGAGGAAAATGGAGAGGGTTGTGAGGAGGAGGAAGATTGGGTGGTGACCAAAGACAAGCCCAAATATGATGAAATCTTCTACAACCTTGCTCCCAATGAGGGGAAACTAAGCGGCACCAAGGCAAAGGACTGGATGGTGAGCTCCCGCCTGCCCAACTCTGTTCTGGGTCGCATCTGGAAGCTCTCAGATGTCGATCGTGATGGCATGTTGGATGATGAAGAATTTGCCCTGGCCAGCCACCTAATTGAGGTCAAGCTGGAGGGTCATGGTCTTCCCCCTGAGCTTCCCACCCGTCTGATCCCACCCTCCAAACGCAGGCAGAAAGGCTCTGATGCATAGACCATCTACTGGCTGTCACACCTATGCTACTGTTGTATTTGCTCTTATTTTCCTGCAGACCCAAATCTAAACGTTACATGTTAGGTATGCAACGTTTCCTCTGAGAATGATTATAATCTTGCACAATGAACATGCTGTATTTAAATATAAGTCGACAAACAAGGGCTTTCAGAAAAGGATTGTGTATAAGTCAAAGGATCTGTTTGCTTCTTCCCTTTGACTCCTCAAAGTTGGCTTTTTTTTATGATGAATATATATTTGCTGAGCAGAAATGAAAGGCTGAGTCTAAGTGAGCAAAAATCTGCATGTACTTTTAAAAACTCCAGAGCAATTTTATTCTTTAAAAAAAAAAACACCTTTTTTTGACATTTTAACATTCCTTCAGTGTCTAGATATTAGAGATTATTTGTAGGAATATGCCTTTTTTCACATGTGATCAGTCCAGCGAAGCATCATTTAAAAATTTATTTTCAACTTGTGTTTTCAGCATTTTCTTCTACATGTAACAGAACAATCATGTACAAATCTAATAATCTGAATGCATTTCACTCTGATGCTTTATATGTCACATTTTTCTGCTGAATTTATACATTATTTTGTAAATTGTCGCCGTTTACGTTGTATGTGCAGGATCAGGATCTGCGTTGCATAAAAGAACATTACATTCTCAACTAGACTGAATGAATGCCATGTTACTGACTACTGTACACAGCTCTGCCAACTGTTCTTATGTTAACAACCATTGTAACCAAATAAAACTACCTGACTGTGTCTAGTGTCTTTGGTTATTCTTTCATACAAGCAAAAACTTTTGTACAACTTGAAAAGGTTTTTAAACTTAGTTATCAAAATGCCTACAATCTGAAAATAAATAACCTAAAATGGGAGTAATAGCTACGGGGGTTTGATTTGACTCTTTTTCAGCAAAATTTTGTGTTTTATCAAGCTTACTTGGTCTCTCAGTGACAGACCACATAAACAGTGACTCACAGTCTCCTCTGCCAAGTCCCCATACCACCATTTTCCGAGGCTCTTTCCCTTGTCGTTCCCACCATCTGAAGCCTTTATTCTGCCTCTCGTTCTCTCGCACATACACATGCAGTCTATTTGTACCCCTTCATCCCAGTTTAGTTCTATGTTCACATTCACATTAGCCTCCCAGCACACGGTGTTTGGTTTTGGTGTAAACTATGTGGTATGATCGTGAATGTGTCCTGTGTAGAGCTGCGTATTTCACATAAGAGTTTCAGGCTTTCCTAAAGAAGGAGTGGCCTCCCCGCCTTCTTTTTCCACTCCTCCATGGAAAGAAACACAAATGAGAAACAGAGGCAATGCAGCCCTTTCCTCACAGCTCTCCAGCTTACAGTGACTCACATGTGAAGAATGTGGTGGGCTGGACTGGGAGTTATTAATATCTCCTGTCCTAGGGTCTGCTAAGTTTCCTCAGGATCTAAACATTGTACCTTTATGAAAGAACTTAAAATTCCCCTTTTGGACTGTTCCCGAGTGAGCCCTGCTGTTTACCACACCCTCTTCTATGTATCTGAGAGAAAAAGTGTGAAGTAATGTGTGTGGAAAAAACAGCTAAATCATCATAAAGACATGCAGTTTCTTGACTAAAAATGCTCTCCTTGTATATTATTAAGTCACAGCTACCAACACCTTCTTAGAGAGTAAAAAAAAAAAAATCCCAATAGCAGTTTGAACAGTGCTTGTCTGTTACGTAAATAGTTATTCTGGGTCATAAACCATCTCAAATATTTGGTATTCAAATCAAGCTACCAAAGCAACCCTGCAAGCAGCCTAAATTACAGTTGATGACCCCAGCGACGACAAAGATCCCCAACAATGAAGCTTACTCAACAAAACTGGGGTCTCCTTATACGTCACTGATTGTTTATGTGGGGAATTCCTCACTAGGAAACCTGTGGTGGAAGAAAAACTGAGGCCGTCAGCTCTGGAGATGGGGTGACACCTGGTGGATACAGGATTCCTGGCAATCTTATGCTGAAATTGTTCACTGGAGTTCGCAGCTGTAGATGGCAGACTGGAGGCACGCAGCTGTGCACATTGAAGGACATGTTCAGACACGGGAGAAAAAGTGTGTAGAAAGCCCTACTTGAATTTGAACATTGTTTACAATTTTGGCTTGCAATGTTTATTAAGACAATAACCAAGATAAAACAAAAATAATTTCCTGCCTTCTGTTTATGAGTTATGCTCTTGCTGTGTCTCTTACTGGGGGCATGCTATGTATTGCATCTATGCTAAACATCCATATCAAACCAAACACTCACATGATTTTAGCCTCCTTTAAAAGTTCAAACATCTTGCCAGGACGTGGAATATTTAGTTCAGTTCACATTTGTTTGTTTTTTTGCAGTTAAATTACTAACTGGGACTTTCTGTGTGGTGTTTGCATCTTCCCCCTGTTTACACAGGTTTTCTCCAAGTACTCTGGCAAATACAGCAACCAGCAGCTATGAACGTGTCAGTTAATGCATGTCAATATAAAACTGTTAACTTGGATTTGTCTCTTAATATTTCTGCTTTTTGTAGCTATCCTACATTGAGACACAAACAAGTTTAATAATTTCAAGTTTATTTTTTTTATGCAAAAAAGTGAGCAAACAAAATTGAAAACAGCTGTATAAGGTTAGTTTAGCACAAATTATTTTGAATTTTTCCTGCCTATACACGGGACATTAAACTGAGTATGTCAGTGACTCAATCATTAACATGTCAAAAATATTGATGTAGAAATATACAACTTTTTGTAAGAGAAAATCCAACCTTTTGTATTTCTGTATTCTGTATTAAGGAAAAACATTTAGTATGAAAGGTAAAGTTACACTAGCACATATAAGCTATAGCATATAAGAAGATAAGAAGAACTCATTACAGCTTCTTATCAAATGTCAGAAAAATGCAAATGTAATAACAGTGTATTCCATGGAAAATTTGAAATATTTTCCCAACTATACAGAAAAAAAAAGCATTTTTCTGCAGTGCTTAGAAACTAAAATGATTTTTGATGTCTTTGATCTGCTTCATCATGTCACCAATTTGCTGTCCTTGTTCTTTGAGGACATCCTGAACAACCTTCTTCTGGGGAGCGTTGAGGGAAACTGTTGCCCTAGTTCCGGGCATATCCTTGTCCACTTGTGTCTTTTGGTACTCCATCTTCATGTTCACCTGTCTGATGCAGTTTTCCAGGTGTTTCAGTTGATCATTGATGGTCTGCAGCTCCTTCTTCATTTCCTTTTCACTGTTTGACAGTATGGGTAGCTGGCTTTGCAGGCTACACAACACTTTCTTAACCCTGTTCATAATGGTTTCTTGGCGATACTTTGCGTCTTCGTATTTATCAGCCAACCTTTCTGCTGCTTCTCTCAAACTCTTCCTCTCCTCCCTGCACAGAGACAACTCCTCCAGCTGCTTGTTCTTCTGGCCTGTCAGGAGTTTCACCCTCCTCTGCATCTCTTCGCGAGCCATGTCCTGCTTGAGAATGTACTCCTCACGGAACACCTGTGTGGCTCTGCTGAGGAGCTCCAGACACTCTGGAGGTGGTGGCGATGTGTCCTTGTCTCCAGCTTTAAGTACAAGAGGATTGGTGGAGCTCCGTGCCAGGATGTTGCGAATGTGCAGCTCAAAGGAGTCTTCGGCCAGCCCACGCAGAGGGGAGCTGGCAGAGCCCAGACCTGGGTGGGAGCAAAGCAGGGGAGGGGAGGGAGGGCGAATGGAGCTCAGAAGGGGTAACAGAATGCACTCGTAAGTGCTGGTGATGCAGATCATGGTGGCGCCCAAGGCAAGGTCAGACACAATCAAAAAGCCACGAATTGGAGCCGACTGACTGGTCAGGAGCGGTCTGGTGCAAAGAATGTGCTCTACAATGCAGCGCTTCTCAGCAGCCAGCTCCTGGAGACTGTCCTTATCCTCCTCATCTGATTTAAGGAACCTCTGCAGCTTGTTGACCCAGATTAGCCCCACGCTGTGCACTCCTGCTTCATGGGTGCAATGATACCGGTGCTGACAGAGAGGGTCTCTGTGCAGTTTGATTGGACAGGTGAAATCAAACTCTTGCGGCTCCTCGTCCTCTCCCGTTGCCACTTTAAGTATGAGCTCTAGCTCAACACACTCAAACACATAAAGAGCTGGCACTGTCTCTGTGCCTCGGATCCACTTTTCCACTGCCCCCGTGTCGTCCTCTTCTTCAGACTCCAGCACGACACAGTGATACAGGGTGCCCGTTTCTGTGGCGATGACCAAGATACTCGGAACACATGGCAGGCACAGAATGGCACAAGCATCATAGCCATAGTTATCCTCTGCTGCTGGATACATGGGGAGAGGTCCAACGGGTTTACTCAGACTTATACCGTTTACCTGGCTCGTGTAGTTCACATAGGTCTCCCCATTTTCGTAAAGAATATAGAGAGGGTAGACCAGCTGGTCTTTGGAGACCTGTCCTGGCAGCTGCCGAGGAGGGGATGAAATCGGCCCAAAGTCAAACGCCACTGCTATCTCTCCCAGAGAAGCTGCGTAGGAACGCACCGGAGGGTGGAGGCTGCTCTCATCTTCTGACTGCGACACTGGCAGGATTTTGGCCGGTGTCTGCGGAGACTTCAAGCCGTAAAATCTGATCGTGTTGTCTGAAGTGAGTAGCACCATATGTGGCTCGTCAGTCTCGCTAGGGTACCAAGCAGCCTGTCGCAGACTGACCGACGGTGAGCTGGTGAAGAAGCGCTCCGCCACCGGGATTGTCTTGCAGTTGATTTTGCTGCGTCCGCCTTCAAACTCGGACCTCTTGCCCCACCGCAGAGGAAGCTCCAGGACCGAGACGCCTCGTTGACCGACCAGCGCGACATGGTGCTGTGTCGGGCTCACCAGCACCTGGCACACTTCAAAGAGCGGCGGGTTGATGCACAGCAAGGTCTGATACTTCCCGCTACCGGAGCTCTCCTCTGAGTTTAACTGCCGCAGGTTGGTTGTGTAAAACACGCGGTCTGAATCGTCCCACACGAAAAAATCCGCTCCCAAACAAAACGTGAGGTTCTTAGCGATCCCTCTTTCACTCGAGGTGCACTCCAAATCCAACTTCTCGCGTATTATTTTGAATATCGTGTGATTCGGTAAGTCATTCAGCCACCGTTCTGAATTGACTGCCGCCATCTTGATCAACTGTCTGATTTCTGAAGGAAGCAGTAAAGTGTTTTGGTTTTTTTCACGACAGTCATTTAACGTGTTACGGTGGCCGGTGTCGTATATTTTGCAGAATCACCATGGCGCTGAAGGAGACCGCTGGGCTGTATGAGACACTTAAAGCGGAGTGGAACAAGAAAAATCCAAACCTAAACAAATGTGGAGACCTTCTGAGCAAGCTTAAGGTAAAGTCGCACATTTGCTTGTCCAGGGTTGATTGTAGGAAGGAAGTCTTTCTATTTGTAAACGTTAGCACTGTTAGCAAACAGATTGCTAACTTACGCTAGCCCAGCTAACGCTGTACGTTAACGTCAGTAACTGGATAAACACCGATAATTAAATTAATTTTGGTTGAATAGTGTAGAGTTTTCACTTGCTAACTACAAACCAATGTTTGGAGAGGGATCGAACAATATCATCATTTTAGGATAATGATGAAACAAATGATTAACTTAGTCAATGAAAGCTAACGTCACTGTACCTTTCGTTAGCTCAGTTTTCTGTTTGGCAAGTTTAAACCGAGTCGAAGGAGGTATCACTAAAAAGAAGTACCCCCAATAAATTGATTAGAACCTTTTTTATTCTTTTCTTTTTTTTAAGTGACTCGTGATAAGGACATCGGCAAATATGTTTTTCGTATTCAAAAATTGTTCGTATATACAACCAGTTTTGCAAGGCAAAGTCAGTCAAATCTATTATTTTTCTATTAAGAAGCAACCGTTATGAAAGTTATATTAGCCTATATATATAATATACACCTATTCAATTCAATCAATTCCACGTTTGGTACAGCCACTTGGAGATAAAGAGCTGATTGCAGCTTCTTGTTAAATGACAAAAAATACAAATGTAATAACCAAGTGCATTCCAAGGGGAATCTGAAACGTTCCTCCTAACTATACACAACTAGCATTCTCTTCAATGCTTAAAAGCAAAAAGGGTTCTTGATATCTTTGGTTTGGTCCATCATGTCACCAGTTTGCTGTCCTTGTTTACTAAGGGCATCCTATTGGACAACTGCCTTCTGGTGGGTATAAATGATAATGTTGGGGAAATTTCACATTCACAAAACAAGATGGACCATCTCCAAGTCAAGCTTTATTCATTTTTTTAAATTAGGAACTATTACTATTACAACACGACACTATAGTTAAGATCTTGAAAAGGGAAAAAAAACCCCTGTTACAATAAAATATAACTTTGATAAATTAGATTGTTAATGCTTGTTACAACTTTTTCCTCTGTATCTTGTGTTCTTCCTTGTTTCTTCCTTTTTCTTGTGATATAACCCTGGCATTGAGATGCTCTGTATATGTAATTGTTATTTTTTTAAAAACAGAGTTTGACTGAGAAACGAAGGAAAAAAGTTTCAACAGGAGTCTGACATCAAAATAAATGTTTTATAAGGTTGTCTAGGTTGTTAGAATTCAATGAAAACCAACTTTGGGGTTTGTTCTGTTATAAATGATATGTGGTGTAATTTAGAGTTACATTGTTACATTTATCTTTTATTTTTAAACAGATTTCATTATTGGATCTGAACTTTTTACCTACCGGTGGATCCTCTCTCACCAAGCAGCAGCTCATTTTAGCTCGTGAGTACCTGCAAATCAAGCTGCCACAAGTTAACACAACAGCTTTTTAAGTTACTTGCAAAATAATTTCTAAGTACAATTTATGTTTGTATTTTAGGTGATGTACTTGAAATAGGAGCCTTATGGAGCATCCTCAAGAAGGACATCCCATCCTTTGAGCGATACATGGCCCAGCTAAAATGTTACTACTTTGATTACAAGTAAATGCCACTTTCTCTTAGAGAATTTGTTGCCCAAGATTGTGGTCTTTTTGTAACAGAAGTAATTATTTACATCTTTTTCTTTTTTAGGGAAGAGCTGCCTGAAGCTGCTTACATGCATCAGTTACTTGGACTGAACCTGCTCTTCCTGCTTTCGCAGAATCGCGTGTCTGAGTTTCACACAGAACTCGAACGATTGAGTGCTAGAGATATTCAGACCAACGTGTACATCAGACACCCAGTGTCTCTAGAGCAGGTGCTATAGCTTACTCATGGACAATGCCTGATTTTGATTTGGATGATTTTTATTGTGTAATATCAGGTGTTAAAGAAAAAAAACAATTTGTGTGTCCAATTGGAAATTTGTACCCTTAAATTGCTCAAAATTAGTGATGTAAGGTTCCAGATTACTTTTTTTTTTTTTAAACCAGTCAGCTGGGATGAAGCACTAATATCATTAGTGGCAGGCTAGCATTAGTGTTGACTTGAAATTATAGAAGCTACATTTGTAAAATAGTTTTGATCCTCCAACAATATTTTATACCCATTATGTATTTAAAGGTATATATATTAATTTACACAAACTAAATATTTATTTGGACAAATGCTTGGCTTATTGGAGTTTTACTTATACACAATAATTTAAGTCCTGTTATAGTAACTTTGATGTAAATGCAATCTTAATATTTTATTCTCTCTGCTAATTTCAGTACTTGATGGAGGGAAGCTACAACAAAGTATTCCTAGCCAAAGGCAACATCCCTGCTGAGAGCTACACCTTTTTTATAGATATTCTTCTGGACACAATTCGGTAAGGACCATAATGATTTCAATGCCTTTTACACATTCTGCATTTGTTGTAAATTTTAAAATATTTATCAGTAGCCTACAACCACATAACAACAGTTAGGTGTGCAAAAGCTATTTTAATCCATTTTACATAGTTACAGCGAATAGTGTAAAAACAACTCAACACAACAAACACAATGATTTATTTTACTCTCATAGTTGTACCAATACTTTAACCTGAGCAAATGTGAAATAGTTGGCAGTTTAAACACCTTTTTAAACAACATCTTTCCTGTCTTTGTCTAATTTTTAATGTTTCTTGATTTGTGCTGTGAACTCTGGAAAAAAAAACAACAACAACTTAATTTCACTGTGTTGTGCCATAATAATGTAGAAGTGTATAAAACGTCATTAAAAATACAACTCTGTCTTTTGAAGATGACTTTAACTAAAGCTGACCTTTTCAATTGCAGCGATGAGATTGCAGGTTGCATAGAGAAGGCGTATGAGCAGATCCAGTTCAGTGAAGCTACCCGTGTGCTTTTCTTCAGTTCCCCCAAAAAGATGACAGAGTATGCCAAGAAGGTAAGTCTGTTTTCATTTGGGAATCAAGCCTGTAGTCAAATCCAGATATTATGAGGAGGAGACATTAGATTCCTGCTGTGATAACATGATTTAAAGAAGTTAAGTTCCTGCTTAACTCTGTTGCTTCTGCTTATGCAAATGCTTATTAAGATTTATTAGGTAAACACTGGCTGTCAGGTGGCCTTGGTGCCTGAAATATTTATGTAAAGTCTAAGTTAGTTCTTAATCAACGTGTTATAGATGTCATTATGATTGGATATAGGAAGGGGAGTTGTCAGAAACTGGCTTGTTAATATACAGAAAATGTCCCTCCAGATGTTAGATAAAATTTGTGCATAGGCAGAACCTGAAAAATAAGTAATATCCATAACGATTAACATCAGATGGAAAAGATAAATTTTACTGTTTGTTTTCAGATGTTCCTTAACAAGTTGTCTATAATTAAAATAAAAATCCTTCCTAGATTATTGCATATAATAAGTCAAATAACTACATAAGCAATCTGTAACTGTTGATTTTCATTTTATTTTTTATTTGTTTAAATGAATACATTTTTCCCCATTTCAGAGAGGATGGAATTTGAGTGCAGATGGCTATTACTCTTTCACCAATCAGCAACAGCGGACAGAGGAGGTGAACATCCCTTCTACTGAGCTGGCACAACAGGTCATCGAATACGCACGACAGCTGGAAATGATTGTGTAATCCGCCCCCAGGAACACACTCAACCATGTACAGATGCACTCAGACAAACACGCCACTGGTCCAGTATACATCCAGTCAGCTCAAACACAGTTTCACTAAGGGATATGACTTCCTTTATTGCCAGAGTGGTTTATTTGTTTCCTATGCCTCACAAATCAACTGGCATCCATTATTCCTGTTTTCCCAAATCTACCTGGAAGTCTAAAGATTGGTTTTTATTTTAATACAAACCCCCCCCCACTAAAAATATCACTTTGGTCTAATTAGCAGTTGCTATATAAATATCTATATTGCAGACATGTGAGGGTCTGAGTGTTTAAAGCTGGTTCTTTTATTCAAAATACCATCTGTCCAACATTAAATTTTAGTTTTCTTTAGTCATTCCCAGATATTTTTTTAACCACTGGGTCTCTTCTTTTTCAACTGTAAGAAAGTTTAAAGTCATCACCCTAATTTTGGTATTCAATGTCAAACAACTGTCAATAATCTCACCATTTTTTTTCCTGAACTTCAAATTCTTTTTGTATCAAAGTTTTCTCTCTTGGGTAGAACAAAAATAAATGTATTGCCCTTGCCTTGTATCTAAAATTGCCACTGAAGTTTGTGTTTGACTCTTCCTCACTAGACATTTTGTAAACACATTGATCTACAATAAATGATTCATAAAACAAACTTTTTGCATGTTAGTGTTGTGTTCTTTATACATGTCTAACTTTCCCCAGAATTAAGCCACTGACAGCAGCTTAATAGTTATGCCTTCTTTCATTGGTCAGTGTCTTTCCTAGTCTCTTTCAATGTTGAGTAAGCTGGATGCAGCTGGTGCATTTGGAAGTGGAATCAAAAATAGAATTACTGATTATTAACCAATGGTACAAAGGAAAATATAAGGAAGGGTAAAACGCTTGAACTTTTATCTTAAGGGTAAGATTGTGTCCTAGTTACTATCACATAGTTATTCAGATTTTATTAATGATAGCCAGATTCCTTATGTTGAACTTATACTATACCATACCACATGGTGCACATCTTTTTCTTTGGGTGCTAAGCATGTTTTGGTTATTCTGACATGCCAGAGGTGGTGTTAGATATCTGACTTCAGAGCACCCAGCAACTGGTGATGATGCAATTGATCAAAATATCCATTCAGTTATTCATTATCCCTTTCAGCAATTATGAAAAAAGATTTAAAAAAAGACTATTTTTCTTTTATTTTTGGTATGTTGTTTTTTGTTTCATTGTACAACTCTTTTAATCCACGATTGTTGGGTTTTTTTGGTTGCTTGTTTTTAAGAGATGTGAATTGCACTTGGAGCTGATGCAGCTTGTGGGATTTGTGTTACTGGGTCAGCGTTTTGTGGTCACAGCCTTGTGAATCTTTTCATTGCTTCAGAGGGGCAAACTACAGGAATTGAGTCCATCAATCTGTGTATTGTTTCACTGCCATTGCTGGGTTTCATTTGATGTATACTTATTTTTCCTGATTGTATTCATTTGTAGGCCATTTAAGCAAATTAAGGTGTTATGCGGCCAGGTAGAGGTTTGGAAGAGCATTGTGAATAAGATATGTAAGTTTTGAATCATTAGTAACATTTCGTGTATTCAAATAACATTAAAATGACAGATTAACCAAAAAACAAAACAAAAATAAACTGTGGTTTCACCGTGGAGGTTTAGTTTTCTGAGTACTTGGATGTGTAATGACGCTGCCATGTTTTGTCATTGCCTTACTGTACACTTACCGGCCACTTTTTAAGTTACACCGGTTTGAATGATTTGACATTTGTATTAACAATCAATCTGTTCAATCCTTTAGGCATGGTTAAGATGACTTGCTGAAGTTCAAAATGAGCATCAGTATGGGGAGGAAAGGTGATTTAACTCACCTTTAATTAACTTGAGTGGTTAGGTATGGTTCTTGCTGTTGGTGAGTGTCTTAGAAACTGCTCATCTACTGGGAAATTCTCACACACATCTCCTGGTCACAGGAAAATGGCAAGACTCCTTCAAACTGTGAAGAAAGGAAACGGTAACTAAAATAACCAATAACCAGTTACAACCAAGGTATGCGAAACAGCAAATGGGCTACAGCAGTAGAAGACCAGACAGGGTACCACTTCGGTCAGCTAAGAATGAAACGGTTCTAATTCCACAAGTCGCCAATAGGATAATCCAAGAGTCAAAAAATGTTTTGTGGTCAGATGAGTCTCAATTTCTGCTGCAACATTTGGGGTCAGAATTTAGCATAAAGGACATGAAGTGTGGATTCATCCTGCATTGAATCAGTAGCTTAGACTGCTTCTAGTGGTTTAATAGCAATAGGTGATATCTTCTTGACACACCTTGGCCCCTTTAGTACCAACTAACATCTTTCAAACACTATAGTCGGTCTTAATATTGTTGCTGTCCACCTCTTTGTTACTAAAGTGTGCCCATCTTAGCTGCTTTCACGAGCTTAAAATACATCACATTGGTTTGCTGACCATATCGATGTCAGGTTCACTGTGTTGAAATGAACTCCACAGTCACCTGACCTCAATCCAACAGAGAATCTTTGAGAAGTGGTGGAAAAGGGAGATCTACATGAT